CTCTTCCCTCCTGCATCACTTCTACTTTGTAAAAACTTCTCATATGCTAACTTTTTCTCCCTTACTACTCTCTTTACATCATCATTTCCCCCCAATCGCTCCTCTTCCCTCCTGCACCCACTTTCCTGTAACCACAAACTTCTGCTGAACACTCTAACACTACATTTTTAAACCTACCCATACCTCTTCGAACCCCCATTGCCTATGTTCTCATTACCCATCTATCCTCCAATAGCTGTTTTATTTTCTTTCCCTAACTGCCCCTCTTTTATTTTTTAAACCTTCACCTCTCTCTTCCCTGATGCTTCTATTCTCCTTGTATCCCATCTACCTTTTACTCTCAGTGTAGCTACAACTAGAAAGTGATCTGATATATCTGTGGCCCCTCTATAAACATGTACATCCTGAAGTCTACTCAACAGTCTTTTATCTACCAATACATAATCCAACAAACTACTGTCATTTCGCCCTACATCATATCGTGTATACTTATTTATCCTCTTTTTCTAAAATATGTATTACCTATAACTAAACCCCTTTCTATACAAAGTTCAATCAAAGGGCTCCTATTATCATTTACACCTGCACCCCAAACTTACCTACCACACCCTCTCTAAAAGTTTCTCCTACTTTAGCATTCAGGTCCCCCTACCACAAATTACTCTCTCACTTGGTTCAAAGCTCCTATACATTCACTTAACATCTCCCAAAATCTCTCTCTCTCCTCTGCATTCCTCTCTTCTCCAGGTGCATACACGCTTATTATGACCCACTTCTCGCATCCAACCTTTACTTTAATCCACATAATTCTTGAATTTACACATTCATATTCTCTTTTCCTCCTTCCATAACTGATCATTTAACATTACTGCTACCCCTTCCTTTGCTCTAACTCTCTCAGATACTCCAGATTTAATCCCATTTATTTCCCCCCACTGAAACTCTCCTACCCCCTTCAGCTTTGTTTCGCTTAGAGCCAGGACATCCAACTTCTTTTCATTCATAACATCAGCAATCATCTGTTTCTTGTCATCCGCACTACATCCACGCACATTTTAAGCATCCCAGTTTTATAAAGTTTTTCCTCCTTTTTTAGTAAATGTATACAGGAGAAGTGGTTACTAGCCCATTGCTCCCGGCATTTTATCGCCTCATACGACACGCATGGCTTACGGAGGAAAAATTCTTTTCCACTTCCCCATGGACAATAGAAGAAATAAAAAAGAACAAGAGCTATTTAGAAAAAGAGAAAAACCTAGATGTATGTATATATAATATATAGCATGAGCGTGTCTGTGAAGTGTGACCAAAGTGTAAGTAGGAGTAGCAAGATATCCCTGTTTATCTAGCGTGTTTATGAGACAGAAAAAGAAACCAGCAATCCTACCATCATGCAAAACAGTTACAGGTTTTTGTTTCACAGTCATCTGGCAGGAAACGGTAGTACTTCCCTGGGTGGTTGCCTGTCTACCAACCTACTACCTACATATACATATATATATAATATATATATAATATATATATTATATATATATATTATATATAATATAATATATATATATATATATATATCAATAACAACACTGCGCTAGCCAAGGATTCGAACCCATGTTTTACTGGCCTGCCTCATGGTAAGCGAGAACCACATGACGCTTTAAACCACAGGACCTGTGGTGTGATGGTCCTGTGGTTTAAAGCGTCACGTTGTTCTCGCTTACCATGAGGCAGGCCAGTACAACATGGGTTCGAATCCTTGGCTAGCGCAGTGTTGTTATTGATCAATACCACTCGTTCGTGGTGAATGCAGCAGCGAGGAGACGGTTGGAGGCAGAGGAGATGTCCTGTCTAAGGCCAATATGTGGTGTAAATATTATGCAGAAAATTCGGAGTGTGGAAAGTAGGAGAAGGTGTGGAGTTAATAAAAGTATTAGTCAGAGGGCTGAAGAGGGGTTGTTGAGGTGGTTTGGTTATTTAGAGAAAATGGATTAAAGTAGAATGACATGGAGAGCGTATAAATCTGTAGGGAAAGGAAGGCGGGGTAGGGGTCGTCCTCGTAAAGGTTGGAAGTAAGGGGTAAGGGAGGTTTTGTTGGGGAGGGGCTTGGACCTCCAACAAGCGTGCGAGAGCGTGTTAGATAGAGTGAATGGAGACGAATGGTATTTGGGACCTGACGATCTGTTGGAGTGTGAGCAGGGTAATATTTAGTGAAGGGATTCAGGGAAACCGGTTATTTTTATATAGCCGGACTTGAGTCCTGGAAATGGGAAGTACAATGCCTGCACTCTAAAGGAGGGGTTCGGGATATTAGCAGTTTGGAGGGATATGTTGTGTATCTTTATACGTATATACTTTTAAACTGTTGTATTCTGAGCACCTCTACAAAAACAGTGATTATGTGTGAGTGAGGTGAAAGTGTTGAATGATGATGAAAGTATTTTCTTTTTATGGATTTTCTTTCTTTTTGGGTCACCCTGCCTCGGTGTGTTAAGGGAGAGGGAAAAGTTTGGGGAACAAGTTTTACGTAGTGTTGCACAGGGAAGATAAGCAAGGAAGGCGAAAAGCGAAGGAGAAAACCAGCATGTCACCTCTTGCTGAGCCTCCAGGAACCTTACCTCAAAGATCACTCCCTCCTCACCACACAATAACGATAACTCAAAATAAATCTTATCATATCTTCCCTGGTCTCTTTTGTACAGCTTAACTGTCACTTCATCTCTTATTATTAATATCTCATTCAGTAAATAAAATCCCTTAAAATCCCAGCTTCAAAACCCCCACCTATCCAGGCCCTCAAACAATCTGTCATTCATTCTCCCACCTCCCTCTTCCGCCTTATGTCACATGGGCAAGGAACTAGGATAAAGTGTGAAGAACCTCAAAGTAAGGTATATAAATGTTGAGGCAATTTCAAACCAGAAATGGCTGGAAAAAATGAACATTAGAGTCAACTTGAGGCATATAAGCAATGGATGAATCGAACTGAAATAGTAACAGATATAATATTCACAAGAGGATAGCGAGCGTGAGACAGAGAAAGAGGAAACAAATATGGGAAGAGAGGCACTGCTTATAATTTAAGTTTAGAGCAGATGAAAGAAAGAAACAGAGGTGAATTAAAGAATTTCATACCAAACACACTGGAGAATGAGTTTACTAGGTTTTAAAGGAATCTAAAATAATCCACCAAACCACAGGAGATCAAGAGAGGAAGAAGAAAACAACAACGAAACAGTGTGTGATGAAGCTATTAATGATGGGAGATTTCAGTCGTAGAGAAATTTACTGATGAATTGGGATTCACCGTCATGAAGCAGGTGATGATGTAAACATCCCGTTCATGCTAACTGTGATGCAAAAATATTTTTTTTCAGCATGTCAAGGACACAACAAGAGAGAAAGAAGACAACCCAGCAAGATTATACTTAACAATCATCTTAAACACAAACGATATAGGCAAAAATATGCTACAGGAAACAGCTAGGTGCTAGAGGTTACAATATTCCGAGTTTCAAAATACCTTATATATGTAAACTTATAAAGAAGAATAGCAGTTGAAAAAAAAGAATAAACCTTATGTAAAAACAGGTAGACTATACATGGATGTGAGTGAAGATTATTGGAAATTAGAATTGGTTAGAAATGCAAGAAAAGGGATGATGAAGTACTTAGAGGAAAGTGATAATGTTGGCAGTGGAGAAATACGTAGCCAGAGAACTCTAGCTTCATCCACAGATGATAAGCTGCAAAAACTAATACTGGAAGAACTTACCTAAACCCTGGAAAACGAATGACAATAGGAAACGGAAAAGTGAGCAGAAGGGCAGGAACTAAGAGCACTCAGGTGAGAAAAGAGCCAATGTGCAACACTTCCCATTGAGTGAGACATTGAGTGTCCCATTCTTACTTCAGTGAGACACAGTGTCTCGTTCTCACTTCAGTGAGACACAGTGTACCGTTCTTACTTCAGTGAGAAACAGTGTCCCATTCTTACTTCAGTGAGAAACAGTGTCCCATTCTTACTTCAGTGAGAAACAGTGTCCCATTCTTACTTCAGTGAGAAACAGTGTCCCATTCTTACTTCAGTGAGACACAGTGTCCCATTCTTACTTCAGTGAGACACAGTGTCCCATTCTTACCTCAGTGAGACACAGTGTCCCACTCATACTTCAGTGAGACACAACACAGTACACTGTCTTCTGTGTGTCCCATTACAACACTTTCTCCTTTATCCAAAACATTAAGTTTTAACGTTGAATAATTATGTCTCTGTCAATAATGTCATAACTGTCTATAGGCCAGGTATTGCAATATGACTATAAGTGTATGATGGTAGGCTGGTGTATCCTGTGACCGCCTACACATTCGTATTCTTCCACACCTCTCTGTGTGTCAGTTAGAAACCGGTCTCCTTCCCAGCAGGCTGTCCTTTGAGACAATCTAACATAAACTAGTTATAATTCTTGGTCTATTGGTAATTCTCCTTATGCCCAGACGAAGATATCACTATATATTAAACCGCTACCAGAGCACTACATGTAATAATAATAATAATAATAATAATAATAATAATAATAATAATAATAATAATAATAATAATAATAATAATAATAATAATAATAATAATAATAATACCTTTATTTACTACAAGTACATGTACAAGGTATACAGACCATAGCTGACATCAGTGACATAGTACGATACAGAAAGTCACATGTTATGCTGAGCATTTCGGGCAAATTAGGTCAGTTTTGTCCCCAGGATGCGATCCGCACCAGTCAACTAACACTCAGGTACCCATTTTACTGATGGGTGAACATAGACAACCGGTGTAAGGAAACACGTCCGATGTTTCCACCCCTTTGCCGGAAATTGAACCCGGACCTTCACCGTGTGAAGAGAGAGCTTTTGCCACCAGGCCACGGAGCACCGTCTCCAGATACATGTATGATATACAAGATATGAAGAATCTCACTTCTGGTTTAGACCTATCACTGACTTACCATTGGATATGTTTGGCGAGGTGTTTACCACTAACGGCGCCTGTTAAATTCTTGGCGTTGTCATCGTAGTCACCGTAGACTAGTGGCGGTGGTGGCGGCACTGTGGTGGTGGTGGTGGTCTTGGCGGTGGTGGTAGCAGTAGTGGTGGTGGTGGATGGCAGGGTCGTCACCACCTCTGCAAGTACCAGGAGAATGTAAAACAGAAATACCCGCTTCAGTCTGTCTTCTTCTCTGATTAAGAGAGTCAATTGTGACGGTAATTTTCTTAATCATTTTTATTTTTGATAAAGTTTTTTATGTATGTATTTAGTGGCCTTTTGTATGTAATTAATGGAATTATTTTTTCAAATTTAGTGTATTTAATTGAATTATATTATATATATATATATATATATATAATATATATATATATATATATATATATATATATATATATATATAAATATATATATATAAAATATATATATATATATATATATATATATAATATATATATATATATATATATATATATATATATATATATATATATATATATATATATATATATATATATAATATATATAATTTTCAAATATCTACCACTAAATTTGGGGTCACGTAAACAATAGTACATAAATTTAGGTACAATCAATTTTAAAAAAGTATATAATCAAAATGTTTTTAATTCAAAGACCAAATTTTAAAAGCAAAAATAAAGATTTTGTAAAATCACCAGAAACACTTTCTTTCCCCTTTCTTTCACCTTTCTTTCACCTTTCTTTCTCCTTTCTTTCCCCTTTCTTTCCCCTTTCTTCTACATTTTTTCACCTCCATTTGCTTGTGTAGAAGTATGAAATAAGCAGAACAGCTCATTTTGAGGTTTTTCTTATAAACTTTCATGGGTCATGAAGACATCTTCAGTGCAGCTGACAATTGATTTTTATACCGAAGTATTCCATAGATCATAGAAACGGGGTCAGAATGGTCAATGTGGATTTCCTGGCAAAGTATTTTTGGGGTTTCCATCTTACTGAGGTGATGCAATGGAGTCCCTAATCAGAGTGTGTTATTTACACGGACCTCTTATAACACTTACTCTCTAAATCACACGAATCCCACTCCAGCATGGCTGTGGTATGCTCTAGCTCAAGTTCCCTCAAAGCTCCCATCGCGACTCACGAAATCGTAATAAAACGATTGCCTCAGCCTTTCCGTGATTTGTGGGCAATCATGTTATAACTGTTTCGTGAGTCACTGCATGTCATTTTTCCGGATACATCCACATGGATGACTGGATGAAGGGAGAGTTGTGATCCCTTGGGAGAGAGGAAGTCGAGCTCTGAGGTTGGTGAGAGTTGGAGATCAGCCAATACACAAATAACCCTCACATAGGACTGCAGGGGAAGGGGTACCAAGCATCCAATACACCAATGCCACCCATCCAATTGCTTACCTCCACCATCACCATCTATCACCACCAGCACCATCCCAGTAATTGAAATAATTTATTTGGGCATCTCAACAGGGCACCAACAGATTCACATCTGCCCTTGTAAATAAGACTAGGGAAAGAGGGTAGATTTTTCTCCAAATATTCCACTTAAAGATTGGAAAACACTAGAGATATTGGGCTTTTCATACTACAGTCATATCTGTCCCTTGTAGAATCTGAAGAGGTACATTTTTATCCAAATATTTCCCTTAAAGATTGGAAAACTCATAGAGATATTGGGCTTTTCATACTAACAGTCATATTCTGCTTGCCCGTATCTCTGTTACGGGAGAATTCATTAGAAGATACACAAAGTTCTGTGAAAGTAATAATTTCCTTTATATTTTAGTGGGAATCTGCATTAAAATGTTGAACTTTGTTGAATTCAAAGTCATCCTTCAATTGAATCATAGTAAACGAGGATTCTACATCCAAAAGCTAAATTTTCTCGTTGATCAAACTGAGATTGTAGATTTTCCCACATTAAATCTTCAGAGTTTATAATGTGGGAATAAGAGCTGTAAGGAGACTGTTTTCTATGTGAACTTTAGGATTCAATGAAAGTAGAAGAGGCTTAAATATATCAAATTTCTGTAAGATTTCCATATTGTCGTTGTAATCGACTGCGCTCGTAAAACAATTTTGCCGCCTCTATCTGACCTAGCGGTTATGTTATTTTAGTTGTATCACTGCTGAGTTCATTCACTTGGGCAATTCGTTTTTGTTATGAAGCCGTTTTTTCATTCTTTCTAAGAGAGGATACCTGGCCTGTGAGGTTAAGACTCACTTGCTATGCAAATGATCCGAAACTTTACCTAGAAAATACTAACTCTATGGCACATGAGGTCTGATCAAGGCACATTCCATTAAGAAAGAGAATGAGATGTAAGATGTAAACTAAAAAGAGAGAGGTGATCCCTATACAGGTGAAAGCGAAGAATCACAGAGCTGCTGAGAGGGCTAGTATATCTGAAATTCGAAGGGAGGCACTGGTCAGAGAAACAGCAACTATCGAACTTAAGCTTAAGGAATCTTACAGGAGGCAAGAATCTCAGGAAGAACTTAAAGCCATGAAGGAAATTGAAAGAAATCCGAAATACTTCTTCTCTTATGCCGATTCTAAGGGGAAAACAGCATCCAGTATTGGACCCCTGCTTAGACGAGATGGAACATACACAGACGACAGCAAAGAAATGAGTGAGATGCTAAAGTCCCAGTACGACTCAGTGTTCAGCGAGCCGTTAACTAGACTAAGAGTCGACAATCTAAATAGTTTTTTTTTATTTCAGAGACCCAAAATTTGGTCCTTTCAAAATCTCTGATATTATCCTAATACCAGAAGACTTCGAAAAGGTAATTAATGACATGCCTATGCATTCTGCCCCAGGCCCAGACTCATAGAACTCCGTGTTCATCAAGAACTGCAAGAAGCCCATGTCGCATTCTTTGGAGAGGGAGCATAGACACAGGGGCCATCCCACACTCACTAAAAACAACAGACATAGCCCCACTCCACAAAGATGGCAGTAAAGCAATTGTAAAGAACTACAGACCGATAGCACTAACAATCCATATCATAAAAATCTTTGAAAGGGCGACACGGGTTTAGAGAAGGTCGATCTGCATGTCCCAGCTACTGGACCACTATGACAAAGTCCTGGATGCTGTTGAGGATAAACAAAATACAGATGTAGTATACACAGACTTTGCGGAAGCCTTCGACAAGTGCAACCACGGTGTAACTGCACACAAAATGCGTGATAAAGGAATAACAGGAAAAGTTGGTAGATGGATTTATAACTTCCTAACAAGTGGAACACAAAGAGTAATAGTTAATAGAGTAAAGTCTGAGGCAGCTACAGTGGAAAACTATATTCCACAAGGCACAGTACTTGCTCCCAGCTATTCCTCATCCTCATATCGGATGACACCCGAATTGCCATGACAGTGTCCTCCATCGAAGGCACCGCAAGACTCAAAGCGGGCATCAACCAAATCTTTAAATTGACCACAGAAAACAATATGAGGGTCAATGAAGAGAAATTTCAACTGCTCACGTATGGAAAACTTTAGGAAATTAAAACTGTTTCAGGGTATACAACAAATTCTAACCACACAATAGAGCGAAAAACTAATGTGGAGGAATTTGGAGTGATAATGTTAGAGGATCTCGCCTTCAAAGACCACAATAATGTATCTACCTCATCTGCTAGGAAAATGATAGGATGAATAATGAGAACCTTCAAAACTAGGGACGCCAAGCCCATGATGATTCTCTTCAAATAGCTTGTTCTCTCTAGACTGGAATACTGCTGTACACTAACTACCCCCTTCAAGGCAGGCGAAATTGCTGACCTGGAGAATGTTCAGAGAACTTTCACGGCACACATAAGTATAATAAAGTACCTAAATTACCGGGAACTTTTGAAGTCCCTTGATTTGTATTCGCTGGAACGCAGGCGAGAAAGATACATGAGAATATACACTTGGAAAATCCTGGAGGGATTAGTACCAAACTTGAACACGAAAATCACTCCCTATGAGAGCGAAAGACTCGGCAGGAGATGCAACATTCCCCCAATGAAAAGCAGTGGTGCCACGAGTACACTGAGAGACAGCACATTAAGTGCCAGTGGCCTAAGACTGTTCAAGAGCCTCCCAGCATACATAAGGGGGATTACCAATAGACCCCTGGTTGTCTTCAAGAAGGCGCTGCACAGACACCTAAAGTCAGTCCCTGACCAGCTGGGCTGTGGTTTGTACGTCGGTTTATGTGCGGCCAGCAGTAAAAGCTTGGTTGATCAGACCCTTATCCACCACGATGCCTAGTCTCAAGGCAGGCCGCGGGGGCGTTGACCCCCGAAACCCTCTCCAGGTATACTCCGGGTATGCGTTCACATCCCACCCGTTCCGTGACTAGATTTCTTAAACTCAAAAAATTACACATTAAGAATGAGAGAAGACAAACTTATTAGCAATCATCTTTATTTCTGTAAGTACATGATACAACTTATACAGACCATAGCTGATCTCAGTGATGTACTATATAGAAAGCCCCCGGTTATACGGAGCATTTCGGGCAAATTAAGCTAATTTTGTCTACAGGATGCGACCACACCAGTCAGTTAACACCCAGGTACCCTATTTACTGCTAGACGTACAGGAACAGCAGGTGTCTTAAGGAAACACGCCCCGATATTTCCACCAGTGTCAAGGATCGAACCACGGACCTACCAGTGTCACCATACGGACATCCATTACTTGTCACCAAGCCAGAAGACGTCTTAAAATGAAGGTTTCCTCTGAACATAAATCCTTCGTACGGTATTTGTCGGTAATCCAACCTTTTTTTTAAAAAAAGAGAATCGAAACTAGCCAAGTAGTGTTTTATCCACACACTCCAAGTAGCTAAAAATCTAGGTGCCATAACTGCAGTATTCTTGTAATTAAACTTCCAGTTCTTCCTCTCTCTAGTTCTTCCTGCCTCCCCTCTCCTATATATACTGGCTCCCTCACTTTCGTGTATTAGTGTGACTAGTAAATAAATCTCCAAGTTGATCTGATACGTCGCCATAAGCTTCTCTCTCCTTTGATTATTGTGTAATGGTCAAACATTTTGTAAAGGTTAAATGCAATAGATTTCTTATCACTTATTATTCCCAGCTCTTCCCAGAGCTGAGATTATTTATTAAGGTTTCCTTGTTTGTCAGAAACCGGTTAAGTAGGGTGTTCACTATGATTGTTTCAGTCGCAAACTGATTGGAAGAGCAGTCCTGAATTACTTAAAAATATTCCATTTAATTCCTTTAAAGTTAATATCTCCCATGATGATTACATTATGGTATTTCTAAATGTTAAAATGTTTGTCCCAGAAAAACTTCCATTGGGTGTTTTTTAATGTTTGAGGCTAAAATACAACCATTCAAATTCTGTGTTTGGTTCTTCAGCTTTTATACAACTGATGACAGAATCGATTACATTATACAGCAAATAGATCAATGTATTTCTTATCAGAGTCAGTTGCATATATATTAGATCAACACAGAGAGTACAAATTACAATAGCCTGACACCCCCAGTGCCTGAGCCTGAACCCCCCAGTGCCTGAGCCTGACTTCCAGTGCCTGAGCCTGATCTCCAGTGCCTGAACCTGACCCCCAGTGCCTGAGCCTGATCTCCAGTGCCTGAGCCTGACCCCTAGTGCCTGAGCCTGACCCCCCAGTGCCTGAGCCTGGCCCCCCAGTGTCTGAGCCTGTCCCCCAGTGCCTGACCTTCAGCGAACCAAACTTGACGTTCGCACGACCCTTTGTGGTGTGTGCATAAATAACAAAAAAGCACAATACCGTGACTGGAACGATACACAAATAACCCGCACATAAAAGAGAGAAGCTTACGACGACGTTTCGGTCCAACGTTATTTGTGTGTGTATACTCCTAATTCTTTATATTTCCTGTGACTTATAACTCACCAATGGCTGAAATGCATTTACAAAATTGTATTTTTAACAACTGTTTTTGTAGTACCACTGGTCAGCTTACATTCAGTATTCCACTTGTATTCACATGCATCAACACTCAGTAACATTCTTAAGAAAATACCCATATTAAGTGGGAGGGAAAGAATGAGCGAAACAGAGAGAGAAAGAGAGAAAGAGAAAGGAAAAGGGAAAAAGGGAAGAAAGAGGAAGTTGTGTTATATTAAACTGTTAAGAACAAATGCAAATCACCCGAGATACGCTGGGAAATGAGGCAGAAATTATTGATTCGCAAAGATTCCTCACTTGATGGCGCAGCATTCAAATGTATCTAGTTTGGTATCCCTCCTGTAGGGATAACTTGCCTAGTTGTCTCTCTTCCCCAGTGGGTTAGTTATCTAGTTATCTAGATCACGTTATCTAGATTTAGATAACTGTTGTCACTGCTGGGAGGCCTCGACTATGGGTTAAAAAGGGCACAAAAGCACTCACTCAGGATGGCTTTTTTGGATACTCTTCGGTCTTGAGACCAGTGACCAAGATTCTGGCTTCTTGGTGACTCCAGTAATCAAACTATACCACGGGCGGGGATAGAACCCACGATCAGAGAGTCATAAAACTCCAGACCGACGCGGTAGCCACTGGGACAGGTTGCCCATTGGCTAACGCGTCGGTCTCAATTTTTATGACCCTCTGATCACGGGTTCTATCCCCGCCCGTCGTATGGTTTGTTTGCAATCGTGTCATTACGATTTCATGAGTCTAGTAATCACTTGGGGTGACCAAGGTCCCGAAACAGAAACATATACATAAGGAGACGTTCTGAGTGAACGACCTTATGTCCCTTCATCTACATTGTCGATATTACGAAATTTTCTACTTTCATACGTGATCTAGTAAGTGTTGTTATTAGTCGGATCCGTTATCTGCTTAGGCATTGTTACGAGTGGGATAGTTTGTCTAGTTAGGTGGCGTCACTAGTGGAATACCGTGCGATTAATCATGGAAAGGGTGGGGTTTGAACCCATGACGAGTTAGTTCTAAAACTCACAGGACTCATTTGTTATGAGTTTAAGTCCCATCCGTTCCGTGATTTGATTGCGATAGTGTTATTACGATTTCGCGAGTCACGGGGAGACTAGATGGAAACCTGGAAGTCTTAAATAATAAAGCATCCTTACTAGTGAGATAACTTGACTTGTTTGATGCCTTACTAGGATGATAACGTGTTTAGTTTGATATCCCACTAGTGGGATACCTTTTCTGCAGAGTTGTACCCACGGGTGGGATACTTATCCAGTTAGGAATCCCAGTTACTGGAATACCTTGCCTTTTCTCGAAGAGTAACAACATAACTTGTTAGGTATCTCAGAACATGGATACCTTAGTTAGTTAAACTATATTCAGATTTAACTGATTTTACAATCTTTTCTTATAAATTTTTCACAATGTTAACATTATGGTCTTAGTGGTGAGTAATTATATATATATATAGTATATATATATATATATATATATATATATATATATATATATATATATATATATATATATATATATATATATATATATATATATATATATATATATATATATTAATATATATATATATATATATATATATATATATATATATATATATATATATATATATATATATATATATATATATATATATATATATATATATATATATAAGAACTTTCACAAATAGACTAATTTTATTCAGTACTGGTTAAGGTCTTTAAGAAAATAACTAATAACCTTTTATATTCTGGAAAATGTCCTGGAAGGTCTTAAAGACATACCTCTCAGAGTGGTGGTAGCTTGTGTCTCCCCCAGGAAGTTCTTGACGATGCAGGTGTAAATTCCGAAGTCTGACGGAACTAAGTTCCTCATGCTGAGCGTCATGTTGTGTCTGCAACATAAACAGTGTGAAAGGCCTGCACCATGCATGGTATGAGATTCCAGCAACATTCACAGCATGGCAAGTCTGCAGTTTATTCAATGAGAGATATCTGCGACACTTTCACTGTGAGAGGTGATGCTGGAGTTACTGCAGATGTGTAACAAGGATGCCCACCACATTGTGATGACAATACCGTACCAATGGTTACCTGACAGGTACAAAAGCTAAGGAAAATACTCATCCTTGTCTATGTGAATCTCTGGTTTCCTCTGTGGCAGCTTCATCAGGTGAATGGTTACGTGAGTTGAGTTGAAGAAAATTTAACTTGAATGTAGAGGATATAATAATTAAGGGGCGATGTGAATTACAGGTTATGTATGAAAAACTGACACTGGTAAACGACAAAGATTAATATTGGTAGAATTACCTATAATGTTAACTAAAAGGACACAAATGCAACTAATGTGGCATTTTATTGCGGCAACGTTTCGCTCTCCAGGAGCGGCTTGACAAAGCTCCTGGAGAGCGAAACGTTGCCACAATAAAATGTCCCATTAGTTGCACTTGTGTCCTTGTACTTTACAACAAAGGTCAATAGATAATAAATTATAATTCCACTGTCAGTAAACATGATGAACAACTACAATCAGATATCAGCAACGTGTTCTGTGAACACAGGACACAAACATGATGTTCATTGTGACAAATTCCAACTGCATCGACACGGAATGAACGAAGAATAAGCATAAGAAACAAAACGTCTGCCCATTTATCAAAAGCATAATTTTTACAGGGGTGGACCCGTAAGCCAGCGGAAGACCTCAGTCAGATGACCAAAAGCTTCAGCAGCGGGTCATCATATGACTAAGATCCACGTCAGGAAAAATTTCAAAATGAGAGACAACACGGTAATGTTGATAATATAAGAGTATCTAAGCTCTATATTCTAGATTCAAAGAGTCTGGAAAATTACACGTAAATTACCGCTCCATTTTTTGATGATGAGATGACTGAACTAGCAAATATATCGAGATTATTTCTAGCTTGCATGGAATCAATGTAACCTCTGAAGTTACGGAAGTTTCACGAATCATTCAGAACAGTCGGAGGTGGAGACACAGGAGGAAGAAGAAGGTTGATTTCCATGATAGCATGTGAGGCTGCCTGTGGGGACGTGAGTGGTAAAGTGGATGGTGGTGTCGGAGTGAGATGGCATGTCATGTCATTCTGTGAGTCGTGAGGCTCGTGTTACAGTAGGAGGAAAGAGGAAAGATCGTCAAAACGTGGCTGCTGCAGCATAAACGTCGTGGTAATGTGGTGGTGTTATGATGTGTACGTAACACACACACATACACACATTATGCGTGTCATTGTGCGCATGCAACTTGCACAGTGGGCATTTTGGAGTGCATGTAACACATATGTGCCATGTTATGTAACACAATATGTGAAGCAATTTGTGCCACAGTGTATATACAACACACAAAATGTAAGTCATGAGTATGCAATACATACTTCGTAGGTCATTTACATGCAACACACAGTATGTTCGTCATGTGTATGCAAGACACTATCTGAGGTGAGGTGGCTAGTCGTTCGTCCTGAGAAATATATCTCCGAGGTGTCATGAGTCTGCTGGTGTTACTGTGAGTGAATCACTTTGCGTCAGCCTGAGCTCTCAAGCGTCTTCCCTAGAGGTTCAACAAGAGTGCTGGGATCACGAACGCCGGAAAACATCCTTCCAGCGAGAAAAGACACTGGAGCAATCTGGGGAAATGTTCTAACGACACTCGGCCATACCCGTTTACAACACAGATTCTTAGGAGAAACCAAATACAGCGGCAGCGAGCACATTATTAATGCCTTACGAATGGAAAGAAAATCTCTATTTAGGAACTACTTTTGAAAAACTGTAAAATATATTATCACCTTGGAACCTTCTCTCCGACTGTTCCAGCTGCCAGTATGTTCCGTGTTCCAGAGTTGGAGGCTGGTCAGCACCGGAGATTATAGGTTCTACTCAGCGATTATTGGCCCAATCTGTGAATCCATGTCAGATTAGATCTTTTTTCCCTCATCATTGTTATTCCTGCAGGTTGTTAGTCAGCTAATAGGAATACCTACTCACTAATGAAGAGTGAATGCGAACTCGCAATCCCTATATACTAAGCGACATATACCTCAACATATACCTCTCGGTGTATATAACTGAGACATGCACAGCCCTATGTATATATGTATATACCAAGAGCCATACTCATTTCAGTATTTATACCTAGTCACTGACACATGTACCAATCGGTGAGCATATTCAAAGTCTGAGATATATACCTTTCAGTGTATATATATGCAAGGAGAATTGATTTTGGTGTATATTTTCTGAGATATGCACCACTCAGTGTATACACATATATAAATGAGCCTGTAGGTGTTTATTCAGAGAATACATACACATCCATAAACATTCTCTCAAAAACACCAATGGAAGTATACACACGGAAAGATACACAGTTTTCTTTGCATATACGCCTTACAGTGTATATACACATAAGCAGTACACTTCTTAGTGAATATTCACCTAGAGATACACGCCTATCAATGTATATATACACTAAGAGACACGTACCTCGTGGTGATATACTCTGAAACACACCAATAAGTGCATAGTCAGTCACTGCTGTTGCCAGCATCTGTCTGGCAATTATGACACAACTGACGCTCCTTGCATAGTTCTTTTTGTATGTTGTTGAAGCACATAGACATTCACTGTTATTCACACCTGCAGTTATGGTGTTCAGTGAATATTCTGATTAACTGAAAGCATTACAGCCATGCATCACTTCAAGATATTGTGCCAGCATAGTTTAGAAAAGAAGTTGAAGGTTTGGTATACGAACGCGGATGGACTAACCAATAAATGTGAGGAGTGGCATGAAAGAATCAAGGAGACGTCCCCAGACATCATAGCAGTCACAGAAACGAAACTAAATGGGACGATATCAGACGCAATCTTCCCACCCAGGTATCAGAAATGTTTACACGATTGTAGTCCAAATTTATTCCGTGAGAAAGGAGCGTTTATAAGTAGGGGGTAAGATCCTGCTGTGCTAGTCGCGGTATGGCTAGCCCCCCTTATCACGCTATGTCTAGCCCCCCTTATCACGCTATGGCTAGTCCCCCTTATCACACTATGGCTAGCTCCCCTTATCACGCTATGACTAGCCCCTTTATCACTCTATGGCTAGCCCCCATTATTATGCTATGGCTAACCCCCCTTATCACGCTATGGCTAGCCCCTCTTATCACGATATGGTTAGCCCCCTTTATCATGCTATGGCTAGCCCCCTTATCACTCTATGACTAGCCCCCCTTATCACGCTATGGCTAGCCCCCTTATCACTCTATGGCTAGCCCCCATATCATGCTATGGCTAGCCCCCTTAACACGCTATGGCTAGCCGCCCTTATCACGCTATGACTAGCCCCTTTTATCACGCTATGACTGGCCCCCCTTATCATGCTATGGCTAGCCCCCTTTATCACGCTATGACTAGCCCATTTTATCACGCTATGACTTGCCCCCCTTATCACGCTATGGCTAGCCCCCCTTATCACGCTATGACTAGCCTTTTTTATCACGCTATGACTAGCCCCCTTATCACTCTATGGCTAGCCTCCTTATCACGCTATGACACGCCCCTTTTATCACGCTATGACTAGCTCCCTTATCACTCTATGGCTAGGCCCCTTATCACACTATGGTTAGCCCCCTTATCACGCTACGGCTAGCCCCCCTTGTCACGCTATGACTAGCTCCCTTATCACTCTATGGCTAGGCCCCTTATCACGCTATGGTTAGCCCCCTTATCACGCTACGGCTAACCCCCCTTGTCACGCTATGACTAGCCCCCTTATCACTCTATGGCTAGCCCCCCTTATCATGCTATGGCTAACCCCCCTTATCACGCTATGACTAGCACCATTATCACTCTATGACTAGGCTCCCTTATCACGCTATGGCTAGCGCCCCTTTTCACCCTATGGCTAGCCCTTCTTATCACGCTATGGCTAGCCCCTTTATCATGTTATGGCTAACCCTCTTATCACTCTATGGCTAGCCCTCTTATCACGCTATGGCTAGCCCCCCTTATCACGCTATGGCTAGGCCCCCTTATCACGCTATAACTAGTCTCCTTATCACTCTTTGGCTAATGCCCCTTATCACGCTATGGCTAGCCCCAACATCACGCTCTGGCTAGCCCCCTTATCACGCTATGGCTAGCCCCCCTTATCACGCTATGACTAGCCCCCTTATCACTCTATGGCTAGCCCCCTTATCACGCTATGGCTAGCCCCCCTTATCACGGTATGACTAGCCCCCTTATCACTCTATGGCTAGTCCTCTTATCATGCTATGGCTAACCCCCCTTATCAAGCTATGGCTAGCTCCCCTTATCACGCTATGGCTAGCCCCCTTATCACGCTATGGCTAGCCCTCTTTATCACGTTATGACTAGCCCTCTTTATCACGCTATGACTAGCCCTCTTTATCACGCTATGACTAGCCCTCTTTATCACGCTATGGCTAGCCCTCTTTATCACGCTATGACTAGCCCTCCTTATCACGCTATGGCTAGCCCTCCTTATCACGCTATGGCTAGCCCCCCTTATCACTCTATGGTTAGCCCCCCTTATCATGCTATGGCTAACCCCCTTATCACGCTATGGCTAGCCCCCCTTATTACGCTATGACTAGCCCCTTATCACGCTATGGCTAGCCCCCTTATCACGCTATGGCTAGCCCTCTTTATCATGCTATGATTAGCCCTCTTTATCACTCTATGAATAGCCCTCTTTATCACGCTATGACTAGCCCTCTTTATCACGCTATGACTAGCCCTCTTTATCACGCTATGACTAGCCCTCTTTATCACGCTATGACTAGCCCTCTTTATCACGCTATGACTAGCTTTCTTTATCACGCTATGACTAGCCCTCTTTATCACGCTA